GTGGTAGAGTCCTAGCCTTGAGCTGAAGAGCTGTGCGATAGAGCCCAGGCCCAGAGTTCAAGCCCTGCAACCAACAACAACAACAAAAAACAACCAAAAAATGAAATAAAAACCCCCAAACCAAATAACAACAAAAAAAAACCCTATTTCCAAAAAACGTAAGCCATAATGTATAAAAGTATATTAAGATAAGTAGCCTAGTGCCAGTGGTTCATGCCTGTAGTCCTAGCTACTCGGGAAGATGAGATCTGAGCATCTCAGTTCAAAGGCATCCTAGGCAAAAATGTTGAGACTCTTATTTATTTGTTTTTTTGGTTTGTCATGGAGCCTGAACTCTGGGCTTGGGCACTGTCCCTCAGCTCTTCAACTCAAGGCTAGTGCTCTACCACTTGAGCCACAGAGCCACTTCTGGCTTTTTCTGCTTATGTGGTGCTGAGGAATTGAACCCAGGGCCTCATGCATGCTAGGCAAGCAATCTACCTTCCTAGCCCCAACACTCTTATTTTTAATTAAGCATCAAATACTCTGGAAATGGAGCTGTGGCTCAAGTTGTAGAGCATTAGCCTTGAGCAAATAAAGCTCAAGTTGAGTACCTAGGCTGTTAATTCAAGCTCCAGGACTAGAACAAAAAAATAAATAAAACAAAAAGTAGATAATTGTTAAGATGTGGCCCACCGGGGAATTGTTTGGTGATGGAAATGTTCTGTCTTATAGTTGTAGTTATTTTCACATTATTAAACAAAATTAAAGGTAGTGTACTGTTTTGAACTGTACTTTTACAGTAAAATGCAAGAGACCAAAACAAACAAAAATAGAGTCACTGTGCTAAATGCCACATTATCACAATGAAATTCTAAGATAGCCAACTGAATCACAAACTGGCCCATTTTCCCTGAAAACAGATTGCTTTCTTGAACTCTTACAAAACAGAAACCTCAAGTAATCTAGTGCCAAGCAACCAGGTTTTTCTCTTTATGAAACATAGTTCTACTGTCAAGAATGCTGGGGCTGGGAAGGTAGCTCAGCAGTAGAGTGCATGCCTTGCAAGCATGAGGCCCTGGGTTCGATTCCTCAGCACCACATAAACAGAAAAAGCCGGAAGTGGCGCTGTGGCTCCAGTGGTAGAGCGCTAGCCTTGAGCTGAAGAGCTGAGGGACAGTGCTCAGACCCAGAGTTCAGGCCCCATGACCGGCAAAAAACAAAAAACAAAACAAAAAGAATGCTGCTTCTATTGTTTAGATTAGCTGCTCCAACAAATGACAATAAAAATAAAATTAAAATAAAATAAAAAATTAGGCCAACTAGCCTAATAACTACATTTGTTGTGATTTTGCTGGGGTTCTTTTTTTGTTGTTGTTTTGTTTTTGTTTCCCCCTCAGGGCCTGTTTCCCCCTTAGCTTTTTTGCTCAAGGTTGACGTACTACCACTTGAGCCACAGTTCCACCTCCAGCTTTTTCCTGGTTAATTGTACATAAGAGTGTCACAGAATTTCTTGCCTCAGCTAGTTTCAAACCCCAGTCCTCAGATCTCAGTCTCTGAGTAGTTAGGATTATGAATGTGAGCCACTTTGTCCTTGGATAGTATATTTCTGTCAAAACTCACCATAGTCAAGCACTGGTGGCTCACGCATGGTATTGTAGCCTCTGTGGAGGCTGCAATGTAAGGAGTTGTACATTGTGACTCTAATGAGATCTCCAGAAAGCCATTCCTCAAAGCCAGTTCCATTAAAATAGTCATTCCTTTTGGCTCATTTCAGTGGCTTTACAAAAAAAAACAAAACAGGGCTGGGAAGGTGGCTCAGTGGTACAGCACTTGCCTCGCATGCCTGAGGCCCTGGGTTCGATTCCTCAGCACCACATAAGCAAAAAGAAAAAAGCCGGAAGTGGCACTGTGG